CGTATGGTTTATGTCTCTCATTACATCCGGACAATATTACTCACTATATATAAATGTTGACAAGACGAAGACGTGCTCTGGAAGTGTCGACAAGGGTGACATTTGTAGCGTAGCACTAATTTCGTCAATTATTTTATTTAGGTCCCTACGTACGTCTCGACATTAACCGACTCTATTAAGGCCGGCACGCAGGTGAGAAAATTTTAGTGACACGCCTTTATGTAGGCACCTTCTGGGTAGTCAACATAGGCGCAATATCGAGGAGGTCTCTCGGAGGTGGGGGCTACGAGCTAGGGGACCAGGAGCTCACGCGTAAATCTCTTTACTCTACAGGAAGTTGTACCGCGCGACTAGAGGTAAAGGCCACCGAAGGTAAAGGTTAGTACAGTTAGGAGGTTTAGGTTTAGTAGATATCTACAACAAAGAGTGATTATTTTTCTAAAACCATTTAGTGCTTCACATAATAAAATACACAACGGCTGTATCCTGATATATAGCCTATGACATGCTTTAGGTGCTGTGTGTGTTGTACAGTGTGGTGCAGTATGCACGTTGTACAGTGTGTACAGCCGGCCCAGCTAAAATAACTGGATGGCCTACCTGCCTGTCAGCCTTCCATCTCGTGCACAAACTTATCTTGTGACCTCATTGGTCATGTGCGCGTTCGTGTGTGTTGGAGGAGGGGCTCTGTAAGGAAGTCTGAAGGAAGGGGCAGATTTTTTTCGGCTGCGTACTTTCAAATTCTAGCGTACTCGAGCTGTTTTCTCCATTCTTACCTACCCTACCTTTAAGTTGCTGTTATATTCATAAGAGGTATTTCTGTTTACCTCTTGAAACAAGTTTCTTTAAACAACTCCTGTGTCCTGTTGCCTTACTGCTTGGTCCCTGACAATAAGTTTCCTGTGTGTTGCTGTCCCTCTCCAGGTGCCATCTTTAAGACTGCTGCACACCTTCTCCATCCAGAGGTAATTAACTGGGTCCCCACTCCCCAGCTTTACACCCCAGCTGCTGTCCTGCCAACTGTCTCAATTTAGCCCCCGGCCCCCAGACCTCCAATGCTCCCCGGCTCAGGGGAATAGTTCCAGCTCATGAGGTTGTGGATGATATGCTTAGATGTTTTTTGTTAAATCATTCAGATAATAAACACTTTCTACAAGCACTTATAATATATTAATTTAGGTTCAAGTTGGGAAGTTTTAGGTTTATTTTTTGTAAGTAATCCTGTTTGAATGTTAATATACTAGCTTAAAGTGGACCTATCATGCTATATTTTAATAATATAGTGTAGGACCATACCTATATAAGGCATATTTATACTTTTTATTTTTCAAAATACCAAACAGATCATGCATTTTAGCCATTCCTCATTTCGCTCAATTTAACAATGTCTTAGCATGGGCTGATTCTGTGAGAACAGCACCATTTACAGGCCTGGCATATGTACTACAGCGTCTCCAGCGCTTTCGAACTGCAATGTCCGTGGCTGTCTCCTCCTGATTGGTGGAGTTGGCCCATAGTGCCACTTCTGTGATGTCCTAGAAGTGTTCAAATCTGGATCAGTCTGTATCAGATCCATTGCAGCCCCTTTTTAAGAGATTTGGGTATGGAGGAAAATAGAGAGGGTTGTGTTTTCTGACACTTGGTGAATTCCCTGGAACACCAGGGACACATATTCATGTATAAAAGACGTACAAAAGTGCATTTTGCATGATAGGTCCCCTTTAAGTCCCATTTCTTGTTTTTATAGTTTCTTGTTGTTTTTATATTGTCTTGTTGTTTTTATATTGTCTTGTTGTTGCGTGTTGACACCTTGAGTTCATTGTAATTTCGTTGCACCTGTACAATGACAAATTAAAGATCTATCTATCTATCTTTAAAAGAGCAACATTACCTCAGGGGATGAAAATATAAAACTATAGTGAAATAGTGATCACACAGAGAGGTAACATCAGAAGTGAAAGGTTTTTTGGGCGTGACAGCAGAGGGTGCTAGATATTTGAAAACCTGAACAGAAAGCAGTATGGAGGAAGAAAGACTTTGGGGAGAGAATGAACAAAAAAAGAAAACAGCAACCAAAAGCCATAACATTAGAGACTTTGAAAGACAGAGAGACAGAATGGAGAGGAGAGAGATGACGGATGACGCAGCGATCTCATTCATACTTTGACAGGTTGAATCTGTGGGAATCAATACATACATGATAGACATCTCTACAGGTGGAAAGGCGGACAGGTGAGTGGTCAAACAACATGAATGATCGGACATCTCCTGCAATGTGAAAGGTGTATTGATCGATCCTGGGCCATGCTTGTTACTTTAATTGCCTCCTTCTCCGTTAGCTGAGCAGAGTCAGACTGAAGGCCAACTGCAACTATTCACATTCAAAACATTTACCAAATAATTAGTCACGCAGCCCAGACAATGGGTAGAGGAAATATAAGACAGGGCTGAGTTTTATGTTATCAAAGAAACAGAGGAAAGAGGCAGGAAGTGAGTCTACAATGATATGCAACTCGTTTGTATCACAGATTTAATAGCATATATTTTAGGGGAAAAACATTTTCCATTCACTATAAAGACCCTTCCCTTTTGTGCACCAGCAATCTCAGCAGACACAAATATCCCAATATGTATCCACTGTGTGAACAAAAAGAAATGTTGACAATGTGAGTCAGGTACCTCAGCTTTGCGTATGTTTTCTTTGGTCTCGTCGATCTTCAACTCCAGATCTAGTCTCCCCTGCTCTGTGGGGGGCAAGCCATGGTTCTCACACTCCTCCAGACACTGAAAACAACACACACACCCATCCGGGGTTAGAAATAGCACATGTGTGTCTTTCGAAAACATATTTTATTTCTGAAACGGGCATTCGTCTCCGTCTTACTCTCTTGTAATGTATGATGTTCTTGTGTTCTCTGGCGATTCTGGTTGCCCATCTCCTGGCCTCTTTGTTCAGACTGTGCTCCTCCGTCGTGCCCGTCTCCGACTCCAGCTGTCGACTCTAATAAAGACAAACACACACATACAGACATTCCAGACAGCCATAGGTACACACACACACACACACACACACACACACACACACACACACACACACACACACACACACACACACACACACGTCTGACAAGCCCGTTGTTGAAATCCAGTGGAGAGACAGAAGCACAAATGCAAAAACCTACTTTTAAATAAATATCCATAACTCAAGTATACTGTATATCCAGTCAAGCACACACAGGGACATGCTAGATATGGCCACATATCATTTGGCACTTTGAGACGTTCACAACAGATATATACACACACATCCCCCACCCCCCCTTTCCCTCTTGGAAAAGCAGTCACTTTTGCTATAAAGGATTTTTTTTAACATTTAGTAAAAGGTGCTTATTCAGCTAAATGAAAAATCAACACTGTCTTATGTCTGTACAGTTTATATATAAACATATAAAGCTGTCACCAGCACCCGGTTAGCTTAGTAGCTAGCCTGGCTCTCTGTAATGCTAATAAACTCTACATACTTGATCATCTAAATTCTCCTAAATAAAGCATTAGATCTTGTTTGATAATGCATACCAAAGAAAATGTGTTTCCAGTCTTTGTGCTAAGCTAAGCTAGCCAGCTCTCAGCTCTAGCAACAGACATGACAGTGGTTCCTATCTGAACATCTAACTTTCACAGAGAAAGCCAATACAGTACGTATATTTCTTAAAATGGCAAACTATTTGTTCATGGTTAAAGCAGTCCACCCCCATTACATGCAACACATACCAACACATGTTCATAATGTGGTGATCCTCTGGCCATTTAAGCTAGGGGTCATGAAATAAAAAGTGCCTGTCGTGAGAGGGCTACATCAGTATTCCAATGGGGGAAGTGGGGCGTTTTAAGAGGCTGTAATGGTGTGACAGATGATTAGGCAGCGGTGCTGAGGTCAATTATTTTACAATTTACAAGATTCAGGAAGTGATTTGTCAGGAGAAGTCTTATAGCTGGGTGGGTTTCACTTATAATGAAACCGTAAAAAATGGAAAGTCTAGGATTATTAGGTACTGCCTTAGGGTTTAAAATTAATTTTCTGAAAGTGCTGAATTGAAAAAGTAGAGATATACTGTAACTACAGGTACACTATACGGTCATCGTGTTGTTCATTTGGAAGGTGGTAAAGAAGCCTCCATGCATGCAACACAAATCACTCACAGATGATATTATGTGGTGAACTTGTGCTATTCTACTTCTGATTTAGTGTCAGATGTGCACTTTACAGCCAAGTCAAAAAGTGCAGCACCCTTTTAAATGCTGATTTAAATAATGTATTAATATGCATTTTCGAACCTGTATACTTTATAATAATAATACTAAATAATCATAATGTTTCCTCCAATGTTTTCAAATTTCATTAAAGTTATTTTGTCTTGGCTGGAAAGCTGCAACGTACGCAGAGTGAGGGGAGGCGTCTCACCGAAAGTGAGGGATCATGGGAAGTGTAGGTGGCCCAACGTTCATTCTCCAGCTCCTCCATCACCTACAGCATGCACAGAGAGAGTGGAGGGGGGGTTTATATACGTTCTGCAAGCAGGCAACACACATACTCTACTACACAAAATGAGATGTATGTGTGAAAGGATTTAAATGCACACTCTCTCCAGTGGTCGTATGTATGAACGCACTCACAAACATGTATCAAACAATGTTTTACACTTTCCTGCAGAAACTCTAATCAGGTAACTGGATTACTAAAAATCATCAATGCAAATTCTTTGCATTTTGCACAGTCAGAAATATGCCTGCAAAATATTAATGATTCTTATTTTCTCTGTATATTTAGTATTGTTCCTAAATAAAGCCACATTATTTATTAACCGATTACTCACTTAATTGATAACATAATTTAAAGAATACTCCGTTTTTGTAATAATCGATAGCTGCAGCCCTTAAGAAAAGACACACACACACACACACACACACACACACACACACACACACACACACACACACACACACACACACACACACACACACACACACACACACACACACACACACACACACACACACACACACACAATGCTCTCATAAGTACACTGTCGGTGGTGACAGCACAAGGCGTGTGATGTGCAGAAGCTGTTAATTGAGCTAAAGAAAGTGTGTGAGAAAAAGGTGGTTTCCCTCTCTCATCATTAATACCACGTGTGTTGCAAAGCTCTATTGTTAACCTCTTGGAAAGAAATAGCTTCTATTAAAACCACATGTAGAAGAGCACGGCTGTGTGAGTGTGTGTAGTTGTCTGTGCTACAAAGCGAGAGAGCAGGAGGTGCATGGCAACAGGAATATTGAAATGGAATTTATTTTGCAAATAACAATTAAAGCAGCTATGTGGGCTATGTCTTCAAGTTCATAGTTGAAACACCTTGTCACTAATCCATCACATACCAACAACTGAACCATAATACATTATATATTGTGCATTTGACTTACTATGAGTAATGCAATAAATCATGATCGCCCTTTTTTTCTGCTAAAGTAATGACCCTTTTTTTGAGCTTATTTCACATGGAAGATGTCTGTATTTCTTTCTTCCTCTGTGCTCTCCTTACCGGTTAAAAGAGGGAAGGGCAAGGTTGGAAAAGGTGATGTCAGCTAATGTGAATTTTAGCTGCCTTTGAATGACAATCAGATGACAGTTGGTGGGTTGTTCGGTCACTGCAAGTCCAATTATCATCAAACTCAGCCCTGATAGTCCTGATGAGTTCTGATGTCAATCGCATACTGTTACGTCAGTCATGCAGATAGGCAGACTGAATGATAATTGCTGCTGAATTTAAAATATTTAGCAACTAAGTAGTCACTCAACCAAAATACTTTGTAAGAAAATATGAATATGACTCAGCGGATTGACAATGTAGGTATAATCCTGCAATTTGCCACATATCCTCTTCTACTTATGCTATCTTTGAATAACTGTTTCTTAAGAGCACCGTCCCTGCATCCTGTGCTGAGAGCGCTCCAAGACTATTGTGATTGGTTTGAATAAATACAAATATGCCAGAGCGTTGTCACAAATAATGGCGCTACAGAAGATTAAGAAACTATAGTATATGCCCTAGCCACATTTTGATGTTGTTATTGATAAAAAGGGCTAGTTTGCTAAGCTAACGCTGAATCTATGTTACTGCAGGGAAGGAGTCAACAACTACAGCACATACATTTCTAGTGAGGATTCTTAATAAATAATACTTTTCTTTACTGTTGATTTTTTTGTCATTCCTATTTGATGCTGTAGAAAAATATTCTAGATTTTAAGAAAATAGCATTATTATGATTGTCTAAAAAGGAGCACTTTAGCTCTGTCTTTTAATTGTAGACTGTAGGAATAGGCACACAACCCAAAGAGATCATTTTCATGACGATATCTAAAATGATGTGGCTATATGTCTTACGAGTTGTGAAAAAACTGCTCGATTAGAGTGCAAAGACGTCATTTCTGTTATAAGTTATAATATAGCTATATATTTAAAAAAACAAATCCACATTCTGTCAGATAAAAAAAATCATGCTGGAGCTAAACTTCTATCTCTACTTTATGAAAATCAAGTGTTCATGTAATTTATATATTATTGACGCATTCTGTGACATATTTCTGTAGCCTATAACGTTTGAAAAAATAGCATTTGTCACTTCCGACAAAAACAAACTAAGCCTCAGGATGGACATTCAGTGTCACTGATGTCTACTCCTAGACCTCAGAGGCTGGGGTTCCCATAATCTGATAATACAAGTGTGCTAGCTAGACTATGGAACAGGATATTTTAATTGCACGTTTCCATGCACATCATATCTATTAATTATGTGCCGCTTCAGTAACAAGAAGGCATAAATCTGGCTAAGTATAGGTGTGAAACGAAGAGTATTACACGGGAGATTTACAGCTTAATTACAGTCAGGCAAGAAGGGAAGTTAAGGCAGGGGGGCAGAAAGCTAGACTCAAACAGCGGCTCCAAAGTGACTTATTGCCTTGATTGCTTATTGCTTTAATGTGAATAGAGTAAACAGAGTAAATAAGCATTTTTATTTCAAATTGCCTACCAGCATCTACTGCCTACTTTGCTGAATAATTGCTTATACAAAACACTTTGAATCTTGCACCTCTTGCATTTCCTTGAATGTGACCTTTACGGGCTGTTCTGTAATTATATTTGTTCAGGTTCCTCATTCTGGATTTCAGGTATATTCTTCAATATAAGCAGGACTGTATACCCCTAATAAGTCTGGGGGCAACTTAAAATGTTATATACACAGGATATGTATGTTTATATAGGACATACAGTAAGGTGACTCACTGCAGTAGAAAAACAATGATTTCCATATTCTTAAATATCTTGATGTAGTTACATTACAATGGTCTGATTGCATTTTAATTGTGTTGATTTGTCTACATCAGATAATAACAATCAGATCAAGGTTACAATGATAAACCATTAGCAACCCCTGTATATATTATAACAGAGAAAAATACGACTTGTCATCCTGCCAGATAAGGGAAATGTGAAGCACAGCGCTGCACATTTATAACAACCTCCTCTGTCATAATAACAGTCATTCAGATGACTGTGTACAACAGGAAGTACTGTGTATCCTTGTAGGAACATTTGAAAAACGCTCTTAGACTCTCAGTTTAAAATGTATTTTCTATATTGTAACTTTTGTCACTATACAAAGCTACAACACTCTTCTTTAATACATCATATCACACATCATAGCCCCCCATTGTTTTCTAAAAAAAGCATCTCCCCCGCACCACAGCTTGCAGCGACATACCATTGTCTTGACTAATATAAAACTTGACGCTGAACAGTTGGGCATCACACTTAAGTCAAAGCAGCAGTATTTCTATGTGAGCTGTTTTAATGGATTTAAAAGCAGAAAGAGGCTCCAAGGTGTCTACACAACCTGCAGTAGAAACGACAGCAAATGCATTTCAGACTATTTATGCGCAATAAAGGCAAAATGAAAAATGCAATAAAAGTGTTATCCTAAAAAAACAAAAACATATGAATCCTTAATCCAATTTATATTTAGTCCTAAGTTTTAATATTATTCAACCCTTGGTATAGTAGAAAGATCATTTTCTGTTTATAGAGTTATTCACATTTAGCAAGTATCTTGACATGTGGGCAGAGAATAAACTTGTATAGAGATTGTCATACTGTCAACCATTACCTTATTTTGAACCAAAATTCATACAACCAAACCTTTTAGGCATGTATCTACAGGAAGGCAATGTTTACGTGAAATTTCAGAAGATGATGCAACAGCAAAAAGGTTACAGTATCTGATAAGTCATCTGTGTGTTGCGAATGCATTACTCAGCAACAGATGACAGTATCAAAGCTTTATGGTGCTGTGGAGTCACTTTCATAACAGCGGTATTCAGTAATCCAGAAAATACAGCTCCCTGCTCAATATCATGGAGCAGTTGGATAAGGCAGGGTATCACAGCTCTCATAGTAAAAATACTGCTACTAAGATAATTAGCCTTATTTACTCCCTAATAGACGGGTTTCCTGTTGAAAAAAAATCAAGAATATGCACGCAGCAGCGGGATCATCCGTCTATATACAATGACATATTAAGAAACAGATCACAGGAGAAATGTCTTCAAAGCTTCCTCGTTCAAACTCTGACTTAGGTAAGACCGTTTTATGCTACTATCCACTTTACTACTGAAAAGAAAGGCAACACAGCTTGAAGTGAGAAACACTAAATGTCTGAGACTGCCAAGGCACACACCAAGGCTGAGTCAGATAAATAGATAGAGATGAATGGAGCAGATGATCCATGGTGTCAGGGATGAGAGTGAAGAATGCTAACAACAGTTAAGACTACCTGTGCCAGGGTCATTCTCATGGCACTGACGGGCGACGGCTCAATGTCCACCAACTGCGGCACCGAGCTCAGAGTCTGGTACACAAAGGCAAGCGTCCACACACACACACACACACACACACACACACACACACACACACACACACACGCAAGAGCAGCAATGCAAACACACAGACACACAAACACAAGGAGGGGTTAATGGAAAAAAAGGTGAGGGAAAAGTGTTAGCAAAGGTTAAACAGGATTGGGGGGGATACAGGGAGGGAGAAGCACTTTGTTGTTTAGAGAAATGTTACCAGTTTATGGGAAGAAGTGTAACAGTGATAGTGTGAAAGAGGGAAAGAAGCTGAGAATCAAGAGAGCACAACATGACTCAAGCACAAGAGAAAAGGAAAGCCATAGAGGACCAAGGTCCACCGGGAGACATCTCTTCTAGCCAGAAATACTTAATACGCCCCCAGAGGGGTGAGACAGCATCCTGCCCACTGCTGCATTCTGATAACAAAGACTTCAGATCGATAAACGACCATTTGAAATATTTTCAAACGTCCAGCAATCATTTAATACAAAAGAAAAAGGGTGTGTAACTTGTGTTAATGATGAAAATAACCTAGGACTACAAAGAAAATCTCCCAGTGGAAACATTACATTTGATGTTAAAACGATTCATATTAGAACAGAGCAGATTCATGCTTTTGTTGAGCTGTCAGACACTATAGTTAACTGGACAACTCCGTCCTGAAGAGTTACCATAAAGACATGAAGCTGGAAAACAAAAGAGCCGAGGATGTCTCTAGAGCATAAGAATGATAAGAGGCTTGGCTCGTGGATTTCCAGCTTGGCAAGACTCTCAGCCCCGGATTTATTAATGGGATTCTCTAAAAGTACAAGAATAAAAATACATGAATTCTGTTTCAGAGACTCGACTGCTAAAGAGCAAGTAAGGACTTTAGCCAGAGATGTAAAGTGCAATATCGGAGGAGAGAGAACATGTGGGAGGAGACGTCCTCATGTGTCAACACAAGAGGCTAATTACTAACTTTGTGTTTGTGTTTGAGAGTGAAATGAATGGGAGGATTGAGCGACTATCTTGTTGTCTAAAACAGGTTCATATACAAACTGTGTTTCTTACCGTGTCACAATCGCTGGGCTGGAACTGGAAGTCGTGTGCTTTGTGAAACACTGGGTTCTCCTGCATGAACAACTGCTGGTTGTATTCTTGTATTACCTGAGAGGAAAACAGAGGGAGATTGGGATCTATTCACTGTGACATCAGAGAATCCTCACTGACCACAGCCTCTCCTGCCTTTGCATGGATTCAACTACAAACCTCTTACAGCCACCATTTTAGTCTCCATTTGGTGAGTGTTTTATATTCACTCAGACTTTGGTAATTTGCTTTTTCATGGGATCAATGTCTGGTCAAAGAGCTTGCCATGGCTAGCAGTGCAGACAAGTTAAGTTCCTTTAGAGAAAAGTAATTCAACTCCAGTAAAGTGTGAAACCAGTTAAATAACACACCATCCTATCTGCAGGTGCTTTGAGAGGCACTGTGCTCAGCTGTTCTGCACACATTCTGTATTCATGAAAACAAAGTGCAGAGCGGTGTTTTGGTTTTTAAATTAATGAATCTCGTTATAATTAATTGATTCAAATGTATATGGAGTAGATTGCACCCTTTAAACAAAAAACAAGAATACAAAACACATATCCAAGGCATTTGTTTAACGCTTCCAACCACCAACCCTAGGCACATTTCACCTACTGTGTAATCTATGCAAACACAGGGCCTAGTAATAATGAATGAACTCAAAATGTTATGTGGTTGCATCAAGTTCACCAGAGAAATACACATTTTGTTGCAAAAGAAATCACTTAGAATGTGACTTTATGTTTAGAAGCTTTTCCCGACAGTATCTGTTTTAAGACCAGAACAACTGTATTTCAACTAACTTATACATGAGTGCTGAAGGTCTGTGTTGTTCCACACATCTGACTCACCCTGGTGGATTTGTCCAACAGGAACTGGAAGGTGTTGTGAGAGGCTTGCGATGCCTCTAGCTCGGTACGACTCAGCTCTACCAGGTAGTCTTTCACGTGCTCATAGATCCTGCCGTCCAAGGCCTACAGGACGGAGAGAGAGGTTACAGTAAGAAATGGATTAAGCCAATGTCATTTCCTTATTCAACCGCTTCAACGGAAGCTTTTAACCGTTTTTCTCAAAGGATCCATATTCAAAAGTCAAATGTATTCAAGAGCAAATTCAAAGGAATGACTGAAAATGAGCAGCTCTAATCATTAGAGGTGGGAACTGAAGTGCCGATTTGAAGACGTTTTTAATGGTGTTTGCACTCTAACTCTAAATTAACAGCATTTCTATTGGGAGCTTTGATAGTCCTGCCAAGTGGAAGGCCGCGGTGCCAAACAGACAGAGAGGAGCGATAGAGGTTATTGGAGAGGACAGAGAGGAGAAGAAGGGAAGAGTAAACTTATGAAAAGTTATGAAAAAGCGAAAAACAGACGGAGAGAAAGAGTGTATGGAAGAGTGTGTGTGTGTGTGTGCGTGCGTGCTGTGTGTGTGTGTGTGTTCTTTGGACAGCATTCTCACAGCTGCAGGGTGAGGTGAAGGGGTTCGGATTCCAATTCAACAAAAAACAGAGACCGCAGACACACACACACACACACACACACACACACACACACACACACACACACACTCTTCCTCTTTTGAAATACATTCTTACGCTCTTCTAGCCAAGGTACTCTATAAAAGCTCACACTCTTCACTGGTCAGAGTGATGCTTTAGGCCAAGTCTACAAGATCACCTTAAAAATGTATTTTTCTCACCCAGAGAGCCAACATATAAAAAAACATTTATTTGATATGTTGGCTCTCCACAAACAAACGTAGCCTTTGCACACACATACTCAGACTTATAAAACAATGGGAAATTGAGAAGGAAATTATGTCATTAAGGGTGGGTTGTTGGCTGACTTCTCTATAAATGTTCCTTCATCACTCTGCTCATTTCCTCCTCCCCCTTTCTTCTCTTCCTCCCCTCCTTCTTCCATCCTTTTACGGTAGTGTTGAAACGGGTTGAAAGTTTGAAACCCAGTGAGTCAGCTTCCAGAAAAAGCCCCGTCCCCATCCTGGGCATTGTATGTGTGTGTTTGTTTTTGGGTTGAATGACTGCATCAGCCTGAACAATAAGTACAGCGCAGAGGACCAGACAGGGCAGCAGAGGTCTAATTGTGAGAGTGAGTGTGTGTCTAGCAGGGGAATTAAAAGATGGTCGGTAAGAGCATCGCCAGCCAACAGCAGAGGGAGACGTGGAGCAGTTTGAGCCTCCTCTGCCCTTTCACTACCACTGTCGCATTGACAAGGACAGTAGCTCAGTGTGAGGTGTTAGTGCTGCAGCCACAGACCGCACAGACAGTATTTATGAAGTTAAGATTCAAACAAGGCTTTTAATTACAAGTCTCCAATGTTTAGAAATCCCTTCTATTGTCTATCACATTCCGCCCATTATCCTCTATATGGCTTGGGGTTAAAGACAGAAATGCCTTGATCCACTTTGAGCTGACACATTGTCAGAATATCTGTAACATATCTGAATATTTACATTTAGAAGTCTATGTTTCTATTCTAAAATGTCCTCCACAAGCTGTGTCTGATGAATAGTGTTCATGGCAATGCAATGTACTAAGAGCACAGAAAGGATTTTAAAGGTTGAATATAATGGCAGTCTTAAATGGAGACAATCTGTGCTTTTAGGGTGATGTAACGTCTTGGTTTTACTTTCATCGTATGGCTGCTATTCATAATCCATTTGTGCTGATTTCTGGACTGTGTTTCTCACTTATCTCTCCGGAGCCAAGACTGTGAAAAGAACTTGTACTTTCTTGCAAATTGTTGCCCCCCGCCTCCCCCCCCCCCCTGTTAGAAGTGTTGTTGTCAGCGGCTTTCAGGTGAGGACCTATACACACCACAGTAAAAGCTGAAGAGGAGGGAGAGAGGATGAGCAGATTGACTCCCTCTAGCAATGTCCCTCGTTCTATCTGTGTGTTTGCACGCATGTACTTGTGCACATGCATATTTCCCTGCAGTCCTGTCCTTCTGTCGCAAGGAGCTAAGGATCTATTATTTAGAATGGCCTCGTAGTATAGATGCTCGAACACGCCTAAGGCCGAGTTTGTGAGAGACAAGGAGACAGGGACGAGCATGTGAGGATAGAAATAACACAACACTGCGGGGGGGGGAACATAAAGCAAACAAATAATAAACAGAGAGAGAAGCAGATAGAATCAATATTACAGATTGCTTATGGTTTAGACTGACAAATCAAATCACAAAATTCCAGGGTCACCTTGTTACTCTTATGTGTATGTCTCCTTATCCTGTGTTTTTTCTTTCTTCACTATATTACCATTTAGCATAACAGACATCACTGACATAAAAACTACAGATTCCTTTTTCTATGTTTTGTTTGTTTCAAATTCATAAATGTTGAAATGACTTTATATATTGCATGGTGTTTATGTGTTCTAACTGGGCTGTAACACTCCCTAAGTGTCTGTGTGTGTGTTAACTACCAAATCAGTAATCAGACATCACTAATGGATGTCAGGATACAGACAAAAACATCCCACATGTGATGTCTGTGTGTCTATATAAATACTGCATAATGGTGTGTGTCAGATTGACATGTTTACACAGCATTTACAAAAGGATGACCTCACTGTTACTCAGCGGCTCAAGTTATTCACAGAATCTGAGGCGTGTTTCGATGCATAGAGCAGTCTGCCAACCTGTGTTAATGTGTACTTGTCTTGTCTTAAACCACAAGAGATTTTTTTGTCAAACGTCCTCAAGTGTTTTGTTTATGTGCACGTGCTAGAAAGGTCACCAGATGTTTCCACATAGCAAACTCCCACTGATGAAATAATTGTTAGTGGTGACAGCTAATTTGCATTGTGTGAAAATGAATCACTTTGAGTTGCAGAACATGTTTACTTGATCAGATAAAATGTGTACATTAAGAAAATCAGGAAACCTACTTCCTACAACTATGATGAAAACACGCGATGAATGTCATGATGGTGTCGGATTTGATTATAAGCTCAAAATAGAAGATGAATTGCACATAAAAAAGTACACATCACTGATTTAGCAAATGTATTCACTTTTGTAATCTTTTCTACAGTTTTTTTAAAGGGCCAAACTTCCTCAAAGCTTCTTGAGAGTTCCTCTGGCCTTATTTCAGTTCATTCAACTCTGTGGGAAAAACAATTTCATGCCTACCAATCATTCGGTAAAAGGAAACATCAGGATGTCTCATTTTGCGGGATTTTCTTTTTTCTCACATAAGCCCCTTTCAAAGCACAAATCCAGAGAACTCATGACTCTCTTTGAAGACTGAGAACCTCAAAATCATCACTTTTTCATGTATGACTTTATTTCCCTCCAACTACTTAGTATACGCTGAAAGGGAGTCTGACTTTGTGAACTAAAAGGAAATAAAAGGAATAAGTTTTATTCCGAATGAAGCTTTAATTCAAAGTACCCTCTGCCTTTGAATTTAGGAACCAACGAAATGTGTCCCCTTCCTGGGAAAATCCCTCTGGGTATTATCAGCGGGCGATAGTCTTAAGTCAGTACTTGTAGTTGAATAAATGTCATTACAAACTGAAATATCAGCTGCCTAGAAATGTTCTATCTAATTAAAATGTCCATATTCATTGCAAGGATGTGGATAATCTCTCACACCGCTCAAACCGTTCAACTCTTTAAATCCAGTTTTGTGAAATTACCTGTATGCAGTGCAGTAGATCAGTATGATAGTAACGGTCATGGTGAACATTGGCAGCTGCTAGCGTTAGCAAGTAGTCGTTCCTTGCGTGTGTTGCCTTGGAGTTACAGTCACTTCTCTTGGCTTTCAACTGAAATGATAGAGACAGATGATATGGCATTACTGCATTACAGTAGCAGATCAGAGCTCACAGCTTCAAAAGAAAGTACATGAGTGTCTTTTAATGTTCTTATTAGAGAGACAAAGTGTTTGGTATAATGGTTTAAAAGAGTTAGCTTGAAAGGGGATTACAGTGTTTGCATCTTTGTGAGAGAGTTGCCTTACCTTTACACTTGCTTTCTGTAAACTAATTCTTGACTGAAAAAGACCCAGTTTAGACCTGAAAGAACAAAACAGAAGTTCATTTTGAAAATTATTATAATTCAAACAAATGAATATAAAAGAATATAAGCATAATCATATATTTAATTTATGACAAATTACTGACAAAGTACATTTGAAAGGAGAAAAAGATCCGGTCACTTCTACAACATCATATCTCTGATCTCTAACCTCTGTTTCAGAGCAGACCTTGTATATTGACCATGAACAGGCTGCAGCTAAGCAACAATAAATCTCAGCCTGATACAGCCAGCGTGATTTATATTGATGGTGACATCAGAATGACCTGTCCCATGAAATGATACAGTGAGCCTGTGTGGATGTGTGTGGTCTGTCTTTTGGTTCTATAGCGCATTAAAACTGGCCATGCGTATCCCATTCACTTGGCTAAGTGTTTGAGTATGTGTGTTTGTTGTGGTTCTACCTATGTCCCCGTGCTTTATGCATGCAGGTGGGCATTAAAAGCATGAAGTGTGTGTGATGTCGCTGCTATCACACCAACTCCCTCCTGTGTGTTCTTGTGCCCGACAATGACTAATGCCTCACATTTTCTCACTGCTGAATCTCACACACACACACACACACACACACACACACACACACACACACACACACACACACACACACACACACACACACAAAGCAGCAATGAAGTCATTTTCTGTGACTGTGTCTTTTTACGTGAGTGATAGAGAACAGAAAAGAGTTGACTGGCCAATCGATGCATGCGTTTGCTCGAAGCCTAGAATTCGATGAAGTGAAAATGTCACCATAGCTACTGCTACCTAGGGCTGGCAGGAAAACCACACTCATCAGCACTGGATCCAATGTCTGTGCTGATTGTGAAACACTGCTTCAAAATGTTCATAGTAGAAACCCTCTTCTACTCAGCAGACTATTAAGTGAGAAAGCTGATTAAACTTGATATATAATTAAAAACAAGTGCATTTCAATCTCCCTGGAAAGCTATAGAGCAAACACTTTATATCTGATGGGCTTCTGACCATCAATGTGAACAAACAGCAACAAATTATATTTTACATTTGGAACAACTTGGTTCAGTTTTATTGTTTGGATTGACATCCTCTGCATGCAAACATCCAAACGTATGATCTTGTGTTGTTTTGGTCCCTTTTTATCTGGGGTTTTTCTGACTCATAAAAACACTATATACATTTGTAATTGATTGCTTCTTTCAGCCTTCATGATGGTGTTTCCTTCTCTATCTCTCTATCTATCTATCTCTCTCTCTCTCTCACACATACACACACACACACACACACACACACACACACTC